CCCTTGTCCGCGCACTCGTCGCGCGCTCGCCGAGTGCCCGGATCGTTCCCCAGCTCGCTAGCAGCGCAGCCGAGCAATATGAAGCCGCGCGCGGCTACGCGGCTCCATTGTGCGAAAAGCCGAGGGCCAGCGGCGCCGATCTGTGCCGCGGCGCGTCGTGGCAGGCAGATGAGGCGCGCCACAGAGGCCCGGGCTCATTGTGCGCCCGTCACAGTTATTTACGCCTCGGGCGGATACTTGCCGCAGCGTCAAGAATGCACGTAAATTTGGGGATCGAGGCCGATGTGCGCGCCGCTCGCTCGCTCGCTCGCCCGACTCCCCGTCCCGATAATCGATCTCTTCTGCCGCAGCCACTCGCGTCTAAGCAGCCCGGCCGATCCGAAGAAAGGCTCCACCTTCCCAGCGAGGACGGGCTTCGCCCCGATCGAGTTGTGCGCCCCGAACGTTAAGCACCCCAAAATAAAATGTATATATCTGCACGAGCCCGCGCCGCTCGATTCGTCATTTGGCTGCGTTGAAATATCTGCGCGCACGATTTGCCAGAGCCAGCCGGTTGCGAAATATACAGTGATAAGAGCCAGCGCCGAGGCGGCCTGGGGCCGGAAGAAAAACAAGTGGTGGTAGCGATAGTGCAATCTTCCGGCGATGTCACATTTTCCGTCTGGCCGACTCCCTGCCGGTTACGTGTTCCAGCCGCCGCCCGCCCGCCCGCCCGCCCGCCCGCTCCCCTTCTGCCCCCTCGACCTCGGCCCCCAGCGAACCGTATACACAGCGGGGAAAGCGCTTTGGCCCGATTGAGACGACTCGGTCGCGTCATATTCCAGAAGCTGATTTTCACGCTAATTTCGGCGGCACACTCATTCATCTCGTCGCGACGAGCGCCGACAGTTTCACCCGACAGTAGGCACACGCGTACACTCGCAGCGCCGAATTGCGCGCTCCTCGCTCGCAACCTTCCATAGCTGGATTCGCAACGTTGTTTTTCCGCTCGCTAGAGAACCTCGTGCAAGTCACACGTTAAAGTTGACGGCAGCCTGAAGCGTAAACGTTATCACTCGGAGGATCGGAGCAGCCCAAATGGCTCTCGGCTCGCAAGCGAGAAACTGCAGCGACGGGACAAACAGAGGCAGGCGTTACGTCGAGGAGGAGGCCACGCAGTCGGGAGTGTCGAGCTGTCCGTGCTCGGCGCAGTTTAACGTCGGCAGAGGGCCGCGCGGGCAGGCACAGCCGCGAGAAGGGCAGCCGAGATTGGAGCGACGGCCGGAAGAAAGCTCGAGGGACCTGCGCGGATTCGAAGCTTTCGCGGCGTGATTTCGGCCGATCGCCCGGCGACGCGCTTTTGCTCGGCGAGCCGCGGGTCGCGCTCGCCACTTGGTCGGCGGCCACGCGCGGCCGAGTTCGCCCGTGGCGCCTCGATTCCGATTGATTGGTCAGCGGGACGCGAGGCAAAGTTTGATCGGCTAATTAGCAGGGATGGAGTCGCGAGCGCGGGGAAAGCCAGCGGCACGTGTCAATATAAATGTAAATGTCGTCGGGACGCGCGGCGCCGCAGGGGCAGCGAGGGCCGGCGAGCGCGCCGAGGATACGTCCCGCGAGGGCTATTCGCCGCGAAGAATATTGCCGAACGGCGCTCCTCGCTGCTCGGAGCCCCGGCTCCCGCGCGCGCGCATACAGTCGGGCGCACTTCCTTGCCCATTCAATTGTCTCCTTCGAATGCACCTCTCTGCCGCACGCGCCCATGCTTCAGCTTTTATGGCCCTCCGCCCGCCGCCGCGCGCTCACCAATGCAAATCACCGGCAGCCCATCGCCGCCCGGCCCCTGCCCCCCGCACCCTGCCCCCCTTCGACGGCTTTATTGGCGCCAGTCCGCAGGCCGCTCCGCGCACTTCCCCGTGGCTGACTGCATCGCCGGCTGTACTACTGGCGCGGGGCAGCCGTCCGGCCGCGAGCACGCGCGCGGCAACCGAATCCTGGCTTAGCGACGGCCGCTGGCGCAGCTCGAAAACGCGCCGCCGACGAGCCGCCGACGTTTTTCGCGCTCTATCTTGTTCCGCGGGCCGGCAGCTGCAACGCGCCCAGCCAGCCATGGCGAGGCGCGCGATAACAAAAGGTTATCTTTGCGCCGAAACATTGTTGCCGCGCGAGCCAATCTGAACACTCTTTCTCCGGCTCCCCGGCGGGTGCAATGCGCAGAACCGTTTGCGCGGATGCTTTCGCTGATGTAGTCGGTCCATCGTTCACTCATCGATCGACACTCGCTATATCCACTTGTGCCGATAGCGCTTCACTCGATTCCCTTTTAACAGAGACAGATGACCTTTATCAAGGCCCTTCGACCTTTTTCCCGCGCGAGCATTTCACTTCGGACGCGCACGCCTCGCTGTCCGTGCAGGCAGCTGCAGCGGTGCGCGATGGATTGGCCGGCTCGCCGACGATCAACGGCGCCGCAAGCGCGTCAGTCGTGGGAGCTCGACGGACATCGTCGAATGACCTTCGGCTGGAATAATCGACGCGTCGCACGTCGCGGACGGGCAACGCCGTTGATTAATTGGATCGAATGGCGCGAGTGGATCGCTTGCGCCTTGGCGCGGCTGCATGTGCAGCGACTAGCTACGAGACGGGAGGTAATAAAGGTGGGCTGGCGTCGCGCAGCCCTCGGCTTAATTCAAAAACTTGCTCGCTCGGCAGCCAAACGCCGCGCCTTCGCGTTAAGTTTTCATTTGAGAGAAAGGCAGCAGCAGTAGCAGCAGCATCAGCAGGCAGTAAGGCCAGAAGTGGAACACTGTCAGGAGAGAATGAGAGTCGGCGGCGGCGGCGGCGGCGGCGGCGGCGGATAAGAGGACAGAACTACGCGGGTTTTCGCTGCTCGGCTGCACGTGCAACTTTGGCGCTTTCAACTCGGCTACAAGTGCTTGCCGCGCCGGACCTGTACACCGTGCTCGCGCAAAGAGTGGCTGCTGCCGCTGCTGCTAATCTTGAATCCGGCGCGGTCCGCAATTGTCGCCAACAGCTGCACGCGCGTCGTTAGCCACGAGAAAAAGCGAACCGTCCGCCGAACGGCCGAACGCCGATGCAGGCAGCGAGTCTCGAATCCGAGCAGCTTGCGGCCTATATTAAAAAACGTCTCCGGCAGATCCGAGCGGCGCAAACTTTACAAGTATAAATTATTCAAAGACTCTAAGTATATTACGCTCGGTGCTCGAGGTGCTTTAATCTTTCGACGGAATGGCATGATAAACGAGCGCATTTGCATGACAATGTAGACGGAGTTGCGAATAATCAAAGTGAAAAAAGGCCGCGATTATTGCATAATTGCCGTCGCGCTGCGGAGGTTGAAAGAGTCCGGGCACAATATCCGCGCGTCTCCAGTCGATGCAACGAGATTGCAGCGTTTTTCGAGCGGTCGCCCGGCCGCCCGGCCGCCGGAAGAATTAGTCAAAGCGTGACTACGGCGACGCCGAGACAGAGACGCGGACGAGCGCTACGAGAGCCCCTCAGACCGGGCAAAGGCACTTTCGGGGGAAAGACGCTCGCGAGCTCTCGAGAGCTGTGCCGCCGCCGAGCCATAGCAGCCGCCGAGCTGTAGCAGCCGGCCGGGGTCCGCTTCGGCTCGGAATTTTATTGCCCGATATCGCCGCTCGAGAGATAGGCTCGTAAACAAGATTTGCGCGTAGCTTTGCAAAAATCCCGGTCATGACAGCTCTCGGCGGCCATAAACTAAGGACAAATTGTACGAATCGCCGACTCGCTTGACCCCGCGACCCCCGCGATCCCCGCGTTTCGTCGACTGAGTTATGTATCGGCAGCTCGGGACTGGGCCGCATAATTGAGTGCTCCATGAGCCGTGCCAAAATAGGCCCTGCGATCCCCCATTACTCGCCGGCTAGTCGGCGGCTCTCGCTCAAACTTAGCTTACGGCCGGCGCTTCGGGCGCCCGCTCGTTGCGCGCTTGTAAAGGACGGCGTGGCCCGTGTCAACTCGCTCCGCCCTCGCGCTTGACTGCGTCCTCTTGCCGACTCCGTCTCGATTCGAACGTGCGCTTGCTCGCGCCGGCCTCGTTCTCGTCAAGCTTGTCCCAGCTGTTGCCGACACTCGCGCTGCAGCTGCGATGCCGATTCGTTCGCACGCAAAGGTCCGGTAGCCGCGAGCAAAGCTACGCAGTGATCCCAGTGGCACGCTGTACTTATCGATTTTGAGAGATGGCGCGCGTACGTACTCATCTCTTAATCCTCTGTCACGCGCTCGGTAATATCAGCAATTCCCGGACCCCTCCTCCCTGCCGCTCTCCAGACACGACACGCGCGCGCGCGCGCACCCTCCCTCCCACCCGTTATCTTTTCCCGTAATTATCCTTGTCACATTCGGCTATCGTTTCTTTTACATTGCGTTAGTTTCGCCGAGCTCGTCAAGTTGCGCTCCGGCTGTCCCGAAAAAAGGCTCATCCAAGCTATCGACCGTTCGAATACTGGCGATTTACTCTAATCAAAAGCATACCGAACGACTCGACGGGTTATTTTATATTTGAGAAGCTTCGTTACTCAAATAAACAGTTGAATGCGAAGTCGCCAGATGCTTTCAGCTGTAGGACGATGAATTTAGCCAGCACTTCGCGAGATTGACTTACCAGCGGACTTGGACAAACACGTTTGTCTCGGTAAATCAATGCAACGATTTGCATCTAACGATTTAACGGATCGAGTTTTGTTACGACGTTCGATGAACTTTCCGCTTGGAGGATTTTCGCAAACCAATGGTTCGAGGGCAAGTTACAGAACGAAGGGATAGCTGCGATTGCTGGCTAATGCAGGCGATCGATCGTCACTAGCGGGCTCTACATAAAAATGCAAACCAGTAGTCGAGTCGTAGAGATAAAAGAGACAGAATGCTGGCAGAAGCGAGCCAGCCGCACTGTCAGAGGCGGCGCTCCTTAAATTAGAGCCGCGGGGTGGCTATAGGCTGGCCCTGCTTATTGTTTACGCAATGTTCTTTTCTGATTTCAGGTCGCCAAACTAAGAATTTCCAGTTCTACGGAAAAGTTTCCAATCATCATGTGCCACACGATAGCTCATTGGGCGACGAGCATGGTAAGCGCACTTTCAATGCACCAACTTTCGCGTTACGGAGGCCCGGATCTCCGATTCTCCGCTTAAAATTCTTCGTTGGTTCTTGGACATGCTTCTGTCGCTCTATCAGCGCCAACTTGTCGCGTGTTATCTGACGATTGTTATTGTTTCGGCCGGGCGCTTGTGAGTTGTTATCGAGTAGCCGTTCGAACGCCTTTGTCGACTGCAGCAAGCGCTGCTCCATTCTTTTTTCACGCTTCTTGCGCCTTCGGACAGCTGTCGCTTTGTCGGCCAAGTTTTTCGTCAACGTAAACCCTTTCCGTGCTTTTTTCAATGAGAAAAGTAGCTCGCGATAAGACGGGAATGCAGTGCGCGAAACGTGAATCTAACAATTTCATTGATTTCAAAGTGCCTTCCGAGTCCAGCGAACTGCCGTTTGCGTCACGCGGTATCAACGTCGTCCTCGGTGCGGCCAACTTCATAAAGATCGGATTTATTAAAAATTTCAATGCGAAATCTCCATTGACTCGGCTACTGTAAAGCGAGCGAGCGTCAACTGGACTCGAAAAGTAATAAAGTTTTATATGGCCGGCCGTGCTCTTTTTCGCGATGTCCTATTCCGGTCGAGCGTATTTGCAGCGCGCGCCTCTCGTCCTTTTCGGCAATAATTAAAATTGCACGTTCAACTGATCTTCGGTAGTTTTTTTGAAGCGAGCACGCAAGACGAGAGCACGGTTATCGTGGCTCGTGTACGGGCGATAAATTTTCCTCCGCTCAGTTTTGCAAAGCTTGCCGAGCTAATTATTGTTACTAGCACCGACGCGCCGCGGCAGCGAACGATTGGCGATTGTGTCGCTCGTTGGAAGAAATCACTTTTTCTACCGCTTCCGAGCCGTAGCGCACCACCAAAGCCCCGACGCGTCGCTCTGCTGCGCCCGGTTCGAGAAATACGTACGCGAGACGTCAAGGTTTCATCGATGACACGTGTTAAGGCGAAAGAGCAAATGAGACTGTCGCGCGAAGCGATGAAAAAGTATAATTGACGTCGGAGAACGGGAGGCAGGGTGGGCGAAAGTTGTCCGGAAAGGCAGCTGGTCCTCGAGATATTTGGACTAACGATAGGGCGAGATTTAGGGAGCGAGTGGGTTAGGGTGGCTAAGGAGAAGATTAAGTTGAACTCGAGTTAATGCAAGTCGGATCTGCAATTAGAGGCGCGGGAGCCTGCAGGGATCTTACGCGGATTTCTCCTGACGTGTGACGCTCGCGCGTAATCGAGGCGAATTCCCGGCGAACAATTTGCGGACACGGGGCAAACAAGCGAACAGAGAGAGAGAGAGAGAGAGAGAGAGAGAGAGAGAGAGAGAGAGAGAGAGAGAGAGAGCGAGGGGGGGCACGTCCTCGTTCAGGCTGAGTAGACGTGCTAGCCGCTTCCTGATTTTCCGTAGACGACCGCGAGAGACCAAGTCAAGTGAACCAGTCGCGCACGAGATGCAAAGCTCGGCAGCGCGCGCATGAATATTAATAAAGAGCTCTCGAGTGTCCGGCTCAGCCGAAATCCACGCGAAGCCGTAACGACAGCTCGACGCATCATCGAGATCGCGAGGCTCCTCGTCGCGGCGTGTCGCGCGCATCCCAGAAGCTGCGCTTTTTCGCGCGCGCGACGTCTGTCACGCCACTAATTAATCCTTTTCGCGATGTTCCCTTTTCAGATTCATTGCCCCGGCTAGTCGAGCCCATACAGAATGTCACAGTCAGTGTAGGCCGTGACGCTCTACTTGCCTGTGTCGTCGACAATCTCCGAAACTACAAGGTAGCTCACAACATTCATCAAATCGGCCGCCAGCGCCATTCTACGCGATGACACGCGCGACGATCAATTTATTGTTGGCCGCTGGTTTTTCGCGGAGCTTCACTCGCTTTGCTCGCTTACTTTTCAAGTGCAGGCCTTTCGATTGCACGCAGCCCGATGCGAAAACTCGCCCGTGCCCGTTACTTATCGCAACCATGTTGCCCATTCGAATGAGACGTCTTGTCGTAAATTGACACGGAAGTGTAGCCCCAGGAATAAGTAATGCACAAGGTACATACCGCGCCCGTCTACATCCGAGAGCCTCTTTAAGAAAAAGGCAGCGGCTGGCCAAGTTGAGCGTGCGTGTGTTCAGGCCGCACCTAGCATTTAACGATTCTTGCTTTTTCAAATAGCCCCAAAGTCAATATGCATATAAATATAGATGTACACACGGCTTAAGACGTAGCATCAAATATGATTAATGTGATTGCTATCTAATTAAATTGAGTTTCGTTTGTCTTTCGCTACTTAAGGTTGCGTGGGTTCGCGTCGATACGCAGACTATTTTATCCATCCACCATAACGTCATCACTCAAAATCCTCGAATATCACTGTCCTACACCGATCAGAGAACATGGTATCTCCATATAAAGGACGTTCAAGAAATTGATCGCGGATGGTACATGTGTCAAGTAAATACTGATCCTATGAGGAGTCGTCAAGGATATCTCCAAGTTGTAGGCAAGTTTGATCACTCGAAGCGCTCTTAATACATTATGTGTCTATTTTTGTTTTTCACCGCGATTACCGCTCTTTCTCTCACTCTTCAAATAATCTGAAAATCTTGCCATCTTTTGTTCGCAAACACCAATTATCTTTTTTATTACATGTATAAATTACTTTAGACTTTAAAAAAGATTAACAATTGTGCGTTCAGCACTTGACTGGTTGATTTTATATGTTCAACTTCAATATTGATTCCTACACCAGTGCCCCCATCGTTTATAACGAAAGAAACTAGTACCGATATGGTCGTTCGTGAGGCTTCGAACGTAACGTTAACGTGTAAGGCAACTGGATATCCCGAACCATACGTGATGTGGCAACGGGAGGATGGCCAAAATATAAATTATAACGGTGAAAGTGGTGAGAGATATTTTTTAAATATAATAATGAAACTAGATAACAGTCAATATGCCCATTTTTGACACGTTAAATTTTGAATAAAATAGTATAGGTTCCGTTTTGCTAAACCAATCCACATGTTTCTTTCTAACACGATTAATGCTAAATTCCAATTTATGTATCAGAAATTCTTGATAAATTATCCAGGCTTGTAAAATTTGTAATAAATATGATAGATTCAGCAAAATTTGACGTGCAATTGCTGGCATTCAATAGACATCAATACCTAGACGGAAGAAGTTTCTTATTTATTTACTTGCTTGTCAATTCACAGCTACTAAGTGAATTTCTTATACTTTACCATGAGCATGTGTAGAGCGGCTATATACGTATCTGCCACACATAATAATTCAGAGATATTTTCACAAAGAAATTTGCTCCATTGCAGTAAATGCCGTAAACGGAGAAATATTGCACATCACTAAAATAAGTCGTCTACACATGGGTTCATATCTCTGTATTGCTGCGAATGGAGTTCCTCCGAGGGTGAGCACAAGAGTTCTCTTGAAAGTTCAATGTAAGTGAACCGCAAATTTACGTGCCAAGATAGTCCAATCTCTCATCAACTTCAGTTATTTTATCGAAACTGTAGAGCTTTTTTCTGCTCCTTTTACCGTATATATTACAGTAAATCGGTTGAAAATGAATAATAACGTACTTTGAAAAAGAATTCAATGCACTTTCCAAAAATTCATGTTCACGTAACCATATTACTGTTGAAATTACTACGTTTATTGAAATTAAACTACATAATTGTTTTAACTTTCCATCAGTTACAATAAAAATCGGGTAAATTCAATATCAATTGACTTTGCTATTGATTTGCACATACCCCACTCTTTCACTCATAATGTTGATCTATAATAATGTATGTCCTTTAACGCGTGATTAGCATAACTAAAGATTTTCACTACGTTCACCTTAATTACAGTCCCACCGATGCTATCCATACCAAATCAATTGGAGGGGGCATACGTCGGTCAAGACGTCAATCTTGAGTGTCACACCGAGGCATATCCTGATTCAATCAACTATTGGACTACCGAACACGGTGACATGATAGTGTCTGGTAAATATACATGTTCAATCAGTATTACAATATTTGCACTGCCCAAACAGTGTGCGCATTATTTCAATGTTACCTTCTCGTGAATCTCTCATTCGCAATTGAAGCTAAAGCACCGTTTCACCTATTTTTATCCTTACATTTGTTACTTTAATAAACTTTCAATTTATATCGAACGAACTCCTTCATGATGGCGGCAAGGCGTGCCAAAGATCTTGAAAAAGCTGCGCATAAAGGCAATACTTCGTGAAGTCATTTTACGATATGGCATTATATCGTCCTTGCATGCCTACATAAATAAATCGATTGATTCCACAGAACAGTAGATCCAAATATACCTAAGCTAAATAGCAAGCATAATAATAATTTTTAATTTTAAACATTAACATCCATCGTTTGCATAACAATTATTGCTATTATTCAATTAAAATTATTGCTCATAAACATTTATTAAAACGATCTGATCAAATCGTCGTTACCTCTTTTAAAAGTTCATTCAATCTAAACACAACAGGGATGCGCTATTAACGTAATCATTACGGTTTGTTAATCATATTTCTGCATCTGTGTCTGTTGTATATCTTAGTTATAACAGTTAAGGACTTGATCTTACTTGCCCAGGCAATTACCGTTCGGTTATAGGCGATAAGTACGAGGCAACATGCAAGAAAGACGGATACAACCAGTACATGAAGTTGAAGATAAGAAATGTTGGACCGAAGGACTTTGGCTCATATAGATGCGTTGCGCAGAATTCTTTAGGTGGCACGGATGGTGTAATCAAATTGGATGGTATTATATTCTATTATTTTGTTCATCGATGTTTTAGACGAATAAAACTTTCTATTAAAATAAATTTCACTTTACATTGGCAGTAGAACAAGTAGCGGTATTTAGGTTGATATAATCTGGCCTGTAGAGGATGATGTTAGCAATCAACAAAATATATCCTAGGAAAATACACAAAGCCGTATTTTCGTTTATAATTTAGAAGATAATTGTGTTCATATACTGTTTTTATACCTTATTATACGAGCAAGCATTTCATATAAACAAAACAATTTTCCTCTTACTTATTTGATAACTTAAGAAAATTCTGCTTATGAAATATTACAACTGTAATGACAACATCAATGAAAATACAGCTTTACTGTATTAAATATACTTCACTAATAATATAGTAGGTAATTTTATAAAAATTCATGAATGTTTTTCTAGTTTTTATTATATTCCAAATTTTACTGAAAAATATTGAAAATGCTTAGAATCAACTTTTGATAAACGTAAAGAATAATTATATCTGATAATATTGATCTGTTGAAATGTTATAGAAATTCCAGCTCCTCCAACAACAACGCATTCGTCGCATCATGGATCGTCAATAAGAAAGAATGGTAAATACATTTTGTAGATATTATTTTTCGATGATAAAATTGTCATCAAGATTTCATTTATTTTTTTCAAGTATTAATGTTATTTTCTACTTCAAGTACAATAAATATTGATTCTTTGGATTCCAATATTGTTGACCGTAGATTAAATACAAATTGTTCAAGTTCACGAGAATTTGTTAATGTAATAAAATTATTACAATGGACAAATAAGTGTATAATTATTAGACGGACATTTTGTTCGCAGATCACAAACGTGATAACGGAATGCCTTCAAAAAGGCCGGGCGAGTATTTGAGCGAAAACGACGATAATGAAAATGAGTTGCCATCTTCCGGAGCTCTGAGTCTTGCTCCCACCCTTGGACCTGAACTTGCGATTTCCTTATGCCTTCTATTATTTACGCATGTACTTTTGCCAATTACGTGCAGGTGATTGTTAAAATCCGCGTACTTGTCGACTTAACTCTTTTTTATAGCTGACTTGATAGTAATTTTCATAGGCCAAATTATTGTCCGATGAATGCAAACAACGATATAGCGCAATGGTGACACATTTAATTACGATTGGCGCGAAACCTGCCACTCTTATTTGCATATTGATATGGTATTGATACGGCGTGATCATTTATATAATCTATAAAATTACGTGTACATAATATGTTTGTATAATAATAGAGCAAGTATGGAATTACTTTGTAAAAATGCTAAAAATATAAGCGCGTTAAATTATTTTCTTACGAGAACGTGAATTATAAGTGTATTACATATAAATACCAAGTGTATAGATGCTGGAGCTTACAAAAACATGTTGTGAACTTTTTCAAACACGTTTATTATTCAAAAGAAGGGGTACAATAATCATAAGGTTCCAAATAAAATTACAAGAATAACAGCTTATATTTTACGTATATTTCACAAATATTTATGAAAACATGGAAGAGGTTCATTTATTTTTTAATATAACTATTCAGGTATCAAATTAAAGTTTCACCTGGGAAAATTTCATATATTTTTAGCGTAACACCATTACGTGATGCACGTACAATAAATTATGATTTTACAAGTAATTTCAAAACTCATGGAACATATAAAATCAATTTCGGTGATCGTGTTTCAAAAATTGTTCCAGTTACTATTGCAAACGATCAATATTTGTTATTATTCCAGATAATACTGGATGTTTTTTACTATATTTACATCTATTTTATACAAGAGAACAAAGTTTTTCGGTACATTTAAAAATTTCTACGTGATTTCTAAGCATAGTATTTATCAAAACATGGTTTTGATGAATATTAACTTCAGTAAATGGAGGATCTCTTAGACTATCGACATAATTCGAAAAAGAATAGATTTCTGTCGATGACTATCAGATCATTGCATAATTTATTTAAAAACAATATAGATCAGCAAATCCTTCAAAATGTCGGCAAATCCATTAGAGCACAGCTTTATTATAGTTGCATTTAAATATGTCAGATTACTCCAAAAAGGTATCATTGAATAATTTATTCATATTTGTTCAGATAATGAAAGTTTTTAATCACCTTTATCCCGCAAAATAGGTTCATATAACATACTTTAATCTGGCAAAGTCTTAAATTTTTAAATTGCCATTAACAACTCTTAAATAATCAATGAATCGTCAATGTGCTTACATTTTTCGATCGATGCAATCTAAACCAACCCTTATGATAATTTAATTTGTTTTTGACAATATTCTTTAAATATGAAAGAACATTTTTGCCATTCTCGCATAAATCAGCTTTTAGGTCTTAGGTGGAAAATGATTTTCATATAAAAAAACTTTATTTGTAATTGACATACTTAGAAGCATATTTCATTCGTGTACTATACCTATATAAGTAAATTAGTGATATGCATATAGTCCAATGTGAATGTACATATCAATATATTTATCTAAGTAGATTGTATTGTTCACTTCACGAGCTTAAGGAGCCATAAACACTCGGTAATAAAGAAAAGAATCCAAAGAACTGAAAATCTCGAAATTTAACTTCGAGATTTTGTAGTATAAGTTATCAGCTTTTAAATATTTTTCCATTAATTAAAAGCATAAAAATCAGGTTTATGCGACGACTTATCGATACTTATGTAAAAATCAAAATTAAAGAAAAAGGTTAAACTGGAAGAAAATATAACTTGAACAACGTTATGGGTATCTTTCGAAAGTTTCATAAAAAATTATTTTTATTCGCTATACACAAGTCTATGGTAACTATTCAACTATATATTTATTTCTAATTTTTTACTCGGTCAAACCTACATATTTCTTTTCAACGTGGTTATTTTAATGACATATTTATTACTTTACAATAAATTTTCTTGATAAACATGAACTTGTCAAAAAGTTTATCAATTAATTATTTTTCAATATTCACTCGATATATCTTGAACTATCATTTTATTCGGATTATCGTATTAGCCTCACCTTTGAAAATTTTACGTGTAAAATTCTTACAGATATTGATTTATAAATATAACAGACGAGAATTATTACCGAGATGTTGAATCCAAAACTTACACTTTTGATTGTAATGGAAAGGTAGTTCTTTACCCAAAAATATTATTTTCGACATAATGTAATCCTAACATCTATATTTTTACACATTTTAATAAATTAATCATTTTGCTGGAAAATTCACAATTGAAAATCCAAAATATCACATTGTACAGTTTACGTCTATGACATTACTTTCATAATATAATATGCAAAATAATGATATTTCATAAAATTTTGGAGCTAGAGTTACCAAATAACGATCTCTTCATGTTGAATTGATTTGGATATTCTTCGTTTCATAATATTGGGTAGAGAGTCTCCTTTGATGTATTAAAAAACGTGTCAAATCAGGTGGTGCCATTAATTTGTAAGTTAGTAACATAACAACGTTCGTCTGATGCAGAAATTTTATTTGAAATAAGCAATTAAACAAACGGTTAAACGATGATTATTTGCTGACGCAAGCACAATAATGACATCAACAACGTAGTGATAACATGTAATGGTAGAAGATTGTTCAAATGTGTAAACATATAGCGATTTGCACTTTTATGTGCTTTCGCTCGAGTATTATATGGGACTTGAAAAACGCTTATACTTATAACTTGTATACATTATAGCAAACAAGATGAGTATGTTGATCATAACATGAAATGGTTAAAAGATATGGTAAATTTTTTAATTTTTGTTTATAAAATAATTAAACAGAAAATGAGTGCATTTAATTTTTTTCATATAGTAATATGAAACAAGACATACACCTTCAAGTAATCATCGTAAAGTTACAGCTAAATTTACAACTTACAAGGGTTAATTGTTAACTTTATTTTGGCAGATTTTTACTAAAGATTTAATTTAACCTCATAACATTTCTAAGAAAATTTATAATTTTTGAATGGTATTTTACATATCATATTTTGTTACATCGTTGTGTTTATAAGTAAAAAAAGATTCAGTTAAAACGTAGTGTTAAAAATGTTACAAATTGTTTTTCTAATGAGAATTGTTCCGAGAAAACTGTTGCAGGTGGTAGATGTTTTTTGAATTTATGTTACTCTACAAAACCGTACAATTTGTACGCAATGGATTATTACTCGTGGTAGTTAATATTATGAGATTCCGGACGTTATGAGTTGTATCGTATGGTAGAATGTGCTATATATTAAAAAAAAATGAAGAGCCTTTTCAACATAGATAAAAAATTCGCTGCAAAAATAATATGAATATTCATGTATTATATGCAATATTGATTGAATATAAACAAATGAACTACTTTATTATGCGACATTTATTGACTGTTAAACCTACCAATATCCTTTCTTTCAACTATTCCCAAAACAAAAGCAATAAGGAATAAGTATAAATAAACCAATGATGACCAACAAACGTTTTTTAAAAAAAAAAGACATTATTAATAGAATTATTACGACAAAGAACTTGAGACTGAATAAACATTCTTTCAAATATTTTTTACCTATATTATTTTTAGAGCTTTTGTAGCTTCTAATATATCTGTAGATTCTTTTCTAATTCTTGAAATTCAATAGTGAAAAGTTAATTGTAGAGTTTTATTGAGCTCATATTTTTGTGGAATACATTACGTACTGTAATCCAAAAATAATTTGATTTGCAGACATGTTAGGAATTTAATCAACACAATAGGAGTATAACAATGGATATATTCGATGAATCGGTGATCATAAATACAAAACAGCAATAAAGACAACATTAAGGTACGAGTAAAAAAGAGAAAACGGTTGGAGCAATGAGGTGGGAGTGGTGGAGAGAGTGAGATTGTCCGAACAGCATTTTAGGGTGAGGTCGCGTACATGTTGATTCAGCTAAGGTCTGCTGAGCACGTGGCGACTTCCGTTCAACCCCAACGCGTTTGGTTAATTCAGCTCAGCTACTGCAATTAAGTACTTGTAAGTTTTGTAGAACCTAGCTCTCAAAGCTAAGCGTAGCGAAATCGCTCGCCTAATAATTGCGACCAGTTCTGCTTTCCTTGAGCTCGAATACTTGCTTTAATTGCAAACTAACATCTCACCTTCTTTGTCTCGTCAGATTGTACTAAAAACATTATTATTATTTACGTAGTTCCTCTAAATCATTTTAAAAATTTGCTAGATTTTGAAAATCATAGGATGATTCAACTAAATTTAATATTCACGTAAGGTTAGGAAAGAGCCCATTTTATATTTATGAAATGTCTATACGCATAGTTCAAGTGCGCATATATCTTGTTGTAAAGATAAATTGTCAAACGTAAAAGCCCGCAAGCATTAAAGTTCTTGTTAGAGATGTTTTTAGTCTTAGCGTGGGTCATGTACAGCAAACTCTCTATTTCCGAAGATTCATACAAACCAGTTTCTGGGTTAAATTTATAACATTTATGTAACGTAAATAAAATATTGAAAAGGTTTTTAACACTAGATCAAATAAAATATATAAAATAGAATTTTTATAAAAGTGCATTAAGTTTAGGATTATATCATTTTGTTGAGCTTCTTTTAAATTGGCGGTAAAGATTTTTCAAAATGATATTATTTTTTAAGTTCTGAAATTATTATTGTTATTATTAACCCTTATGTTCGATCCTGGATCAGGTGTTTTATGTGTTTATAGCTATTATTTGCCAATGAGGCATTCGATATCTTTAACAGGCATACGTTATTTGGAATTTCCGACTGTGTAGACAAAATGCCGATACACCAATGTTAGAGGACGGTTACGGATTGCATGAGGCATGCAATGATTTTTTTTGAAACAATAAAAGTTTTTTATTATATAGTGACTAATGCCACATATTTTCTCAGTGACAAGACTATTGTCGACTATTTCGCTGGTATGAGTACTACGCCAGTTAGGCAGTTTCTTTCAAAATTGAGTAATGACCGGCGCGGGCAAACATACTCGTATACATAAAATATATGCGAACATACAAACATTCACATATAGAGCCTCGTTTTTCTTGACATTGGTAAACGATAAAGAGAAGATAAGATTTATAAACGAAATTGGAACACAGACTGAGGACAATATGGATCCCAGTGAAAAGTCTATAGCAGTGATAAACATAAATGATTGCTTGAACTTTGAGATGCCATGCAAAAAAACGAGGTATACATTTTTTATTTGTCGTTAATCGATATTACAGCTGCATTTAATGCGCATAGAAGATTTAAAAATAAAAATAATTTTATTTAATTGAAAGAGACAAGCCACTAGATTAAATGGAAGAATATAATATAAGAAGTTGAGTGGAATAAAGTTGTAACTTCAGTTGAAGATTAAATTTAGCGGGAACTGTAACGATTACATGAACCTCCGAAGGCAAAGTGACTTAGTAAGATTTTGCGGTGGGAAATGTTTTCATCGTAGGCAGAGATAAAAATGAAGGTTGCCAGTAGTCGAAGGCTAAAACGAATCAACCGCTTGAAATACAGAGAGTGGCGTGGCAGCTGACGTTACCAGAGTCCATGTCACATTATTTTTGCAGGCAGCCATGCGCGTCAACTCACTCTCTCTCTCTCTCTCTCTCTCTCTCTCTCTTCCGTTTCCGCAATGCTTCGACCATGTGGCGTCAGCAATATAGCCGTGATTTTTCGAGCCCGATCGTAAAAGCAGAAATTTTTCACGGGACTGCACATACTACTCTTCCTCTATATTTTCCTTCTCTTTTTTCACATCTTGCAATCCAATCTAGGGGAAATCATTACCTGCTCTCCTGCCTCTCTCCCTCGCAGTTTATGTGTTTTCCGAATTTTATCAGCTACCATAGCGATTCGCCGTTTCGCTGGCCAGAACAAGAGCTAAGGGATTCCGACGCCAGGAGTAGTGCACGAACGAATCGCCAATGAGAGCAACGCTGAAATGAGCGCCTGGCAGGTTTATCTCGCGGCATATTCCGGCCATGCATCGCTTTGTGTCCGTGCGCGCGACGATAGCAGTCCATATCGGAGTAACGGTCGAGCGAGCCCTTCCATGTGCATTCGGTCGAAGCCCCGCGCAGCAATCGAACGTAGTTGGATATTGTTATACTTGAAAAAGGGCCGGGAGGACGACGGACGGAGAAGGCGAGGTTGCCGCGGAGAAGGACGCGGAGGAGGGCACGGAGGAGGCACGTTGTTCAAGAGCGTCATTACGCTTTAATCGAAATAAGGCGAGCGCTACAATGACGACAGATGCACAGCCAGAGGCAGCCGCTCGCTCGGTTCTCTCGGTTTCAGGCTGCTGCCTGTCGAGGCGGGTCGGGGCGGGTCGGGGCAAGGGGTACGCGCGGCTGAATATAAGTACGCTATATCCGCGAGATTTCTGGCCGAGCCATATTCTGGCGCAGGCCGCGCAGCTCGTGCGGGCTCTTCATTTAACGCATCGCCTATCTTCGTTCGTCCGCGTTACCTCCGAAGCCAGCTCACTTGCTCATTTCCGCGAGTGCGCGCTCGGCCGAAATTCATCTTGTATTCATCGGGCCAGCTCGGCCGGCTCGGACTGTCGCTCGCTTGTCGCGCGATCCCGAAGGCCCCCGTTCGTTTTCGACGCCCGCCAGCCGAAAGGGGTCGGAGGTCGTTCGCGCGAGCTTATTATCGTCTCGGGCGCCGGGGAGGAGGATCGCGGGAATGGAATTAGCGCGCGCGCCGGCAAGGCGGCAAGGCGGCAAGGCGGCAAGGCGGACAATGCGAAGAAATTGGCCGGGGCAAAATAGAAATAGTGCATGAGCGCGCCGAGTTTGGAATTCAAGCAGTGAGCCCGGAGAAGTGAGTGTGCCGGCCAATTTCTTCGAGTGCTAGTCTCAAGTGGATGTGACCACTATAGAATTCCGCCGCGATGAGATGTCAGCCGGAGCCGGGGGCGTGTTTTATTGATCGCGCGAGCGCGGGCCACATTTTAACAAGCTCATACGCGCAGCGGGCCGGCTACTTAGCTCTAATTGAACCGAGCCGTGGACGAGTCGACGGCCGATGCAACGACAAGCGCGCGGATAGACGCCGCGCGGGGCGGTAGGTGGGGCGCGAGCTGCGTGCGCGTATCGACGAATACAGGAGCTAGTTGGCTCGCGGTGGTATTGAATCTATCCGAGCGGCGAGTAAGTTTTGCAGACAGCGCCCGACAGCTCGCTCTATAATAAAAGCCGCGCCATTGCTCTCTTCAATTCGTTCCATCTGCCAGGCACTCCGAGCACTTGCCCTGGCCTCTCCCGTCTTTTTCTTCTCGTCTCCTGCCCCGGCTCTGCGCCGGCTATGACTTGCCGCTCCGGCCACTTACCACTTTGCAACTCCAATCTCATTATTTCCTCTTCTTAATTATTCCTTTTTCTTAAACGCTATTAGCAACTTTTCTCGGAATAAGAGTGGCTTGTGTACCTTGCCGGGGCCGCGTCCGCTTCCCGCCTCCGCTTCCCCGAGGGTGCCGGCTGCGAAACGCCTACCGTCAGCGCCTTCGACGACCAATCGCGCCTCGCGCGACACCCTGATCCACGCGCGCGCGCTCGTCGCGGCGAGCGCAGCCCTTCCGCGAACGACCTGCCGCGCACCACGCCGCTGCTCGCGAGGAATATCGGAAGCGGTAAAGATGAGCCGATAGCGCGATCCGAAGACTGCCAGTGCCAGCCGGCAAGCTGCTGCCGACCGATGAACGAGCAGCTCGGCTCTCGGCGCGATTGGCCGATCGGCGCGCGCGCGCATCACTGGCGAGTCGAGGCCTCTGCCTGCGCGCCGCCGCGTCCGACCGTAGCGAGCTCGCACTACTGGCAGCGGATCGGGCCACGCGTGCGACGAGGCGATCGCCGACCGGGGGCTGCCAACTTTTAATGGACAAAGTCAGCCGCGCCAAGTACGAGACGCGCTCGCGACGACGGCGGGCGACGCGCGTGCAGGCTCGGAGCTGCTCGGGCAGCCGGAACAACTGCGAGCCGGCGGAAAGAAGCGGCGCCGACTGGCGGGAGGGGCCGAGCGAGGCTGCGTTCGACCGAACGCCCGTAGCGGGATTAAGCTGATCAATGAAATTTCTATTAAGCGTCAATAGTGCGCCGGACGGAGGGGCGGAGGGGCGAAGGGGCGGAGGCGCGGCATTTATCGGCAGGATTTGCATCGACTGCCGATTCCCCCGGGACTCGTCGGCGACCGGGGATCGTCGCGATTTGTTCTTTTTTTCGGGCTGGCGGGCGGGGGCGGAGAGGGGGGGGGGAGGGTCAGCGAGAGCGGCGCGACCACCGCTTAACCGATGCTCCTGCGCCGCCCAGGCGATCCGCCAATCG